TAATATTTGTCATACTTCTCCTGCATTTGAAGTGTCATTTTTTTTAAAATCAGCATCTTTACTTTTCACCCACTCATTCAGCAAATCATGTGTATGACCAATATGAAAGAAAAGGGAATTACTTGTGACATATAAAGATCCAGAAATACGATTAGTCAAATCATAAAACTCTTTTAAGAAGACAACAAGTTTTTCCACTTTATTCCACTCTTCATTCTTTATAGGACCTAACTTGTCATGATCCAAATCTTTAGGGAGTTCTATGCGAGAGAAGACATTCCTGTACTTCAAAGGAGTTTCTAACATAGTGTATGTTGAATTCCATCTAGTAGGCATATCAAGAGTCAACGAAGATTTGCAACCAACCTTACACTTTTCAGCTTGTTGATTGAACAAAAGTAACCTTGCAGGGGAGTTTTTCACAAACTTAACAGCAGCTCGAATTTTGTCAATATATGATGCATGATCCTTCAATCCCTCCCACACTATAAGATTGACAATATGTGCAATGCATCTCATATGTAAATAATTCCCGTCACTAATTCCACCACTTTTTTGCACCATGCTTTTCAAGTAAAGACACGCAACATCATTAGAACTTGCATTATCAACAGTAACAGTAAAGAGCTTACTACCTAAACCCCAAGAATTCAAGCAATTCTCAACAGCTCTACCAATAGCTTCCCCCTCGTGACTAGAAATTGGACAGAAATTGATCATCAATAAAATATGCAGTGAGACACATATAATTGATTCTCTGGATAGAAGTCCATGTATCAGTAGTCACACACACTCTTTGACATGATTTATTGAACAAAATTTTCAAATTTACCCTCTCTTGAGCGTATAAACCATAACAATTACGTGCAATAGTAAACCAGGAGGGAATGTGAAATTCAGGCAAGGCAACAGACATAAAATGCCTAAACCCAGGCTTCTCAACAAATCTAAAAGGCAACTCATCGATTATAGTCATATATGTCAATGCATCTCCTACTTCTTCCAAACTCACTACCTTATACTTCAAATTAACTTCTTGTTCATTGGTTTCAGAAGGTTCAAAGGATAAGTGAGATTGTTTACCTTTACTTTTGTTAGCAGGATTCTTAGTGCAAGATTTCCAATGTCTGGCCACATTTTTTAATCCATTTTTATTAGAATCTACTGCAAAAGTTGCTCCACAGAAGTTGCATTCAGCCCTTAATCGATTTTCAACATCCGTATATTCAGTGAAGTCTGGCCAATACTCTGCTGTCCTTTTGCTCTTCCTCAAGATGTACCGACGTCCATCCTTTGCCTTCTTTGTTGGATGGTCTTTATAAGTGGGAGGTATGCCATGATCTTCATCCAGTTGAGCATCTTGCATTTCCCCATCAAGATCATCCATAGATGGTTCTTCTTCTGTTTCATGCAAAAGCATAGCACGTTTTCTACCTTTCAACTGGGAGCTCATCTTTAACAAAAAAAATAATAATAAATAAATTGTAATCAACTAATATCTATAACTCAGTTATAAGATAAACTAAAGAAAATAAACATGTGGATTAAGATTAAGTGACAGATTAATTGCAAGACATGAATGGACATATATGCATGCTACCACTTGCGGATGATAGGCTGCGTAGTCGAATAAAAGAATGAAATAGGTTAGGTTAAATAACTGCATACGTTACACAATGTGCATCGCCGCAGGCCTCTGGTCTTTTAGCTCTGTTCACGCATTTAGTAATTGTTACGGAGTATTATTATTAAGTGAAATTAAATTGTTTTTTAATTAATCCGGTCTAACCGGGTCGGACCTGTTTTTTCCGGGTTTGGACCAGACCGGACCGGAACCCTAAATCATAAAAACAGTGGACCAGAGACCGGACCGGTATACGACTTTCCGGGTCTGGTCCGGTCTAAACCGGTCCGGTTCGGTCCGGTTTTCCGGTCTAGACCGGAATATGCTCACCCCTAGCTGTAGACCAGCCTCGGTCAAGGTTTTTTGGCCTTCATCGGCCGTTCTTTTCTTCCTCACCACTGGAGGTTTCTTGGTCGGGTCGGCTTGGGGTTTGTCCCCACCGTCCGAAGCTTGCTTAGCGACCTACTTCGCTTTCAGCTCCTCGCCTGCCTTCTTCGCAGCGTTCTTCATAAAGGAGGTGTGATCCATGTCGAAGCGCGCACAACGAAATGGGTTAAACAACGAAAAAAGTAAATAAAAAGCAACAAGGCTAAGGGCACTAGGAGGTCTTTACCATCGGCCTGGGCAGGAACACCCAGAAAAGGGCCATCGGCCTCCTCAAATGACGTGGTCATCTTCGGCCAAAAACCACCATCCATGTCTCCATAAACGAAGTACCTGACGAAGCCAAGGGCAACCATTTTGTATTCTGTGATGTACTCTTTCACACTCCTCGGTTCGTCTTTAAAAAATGCCTCCACTTGGGCGTCTATGGATGCACTCTTCGGCGACTCATGCAGGTTGAAGGCCCCAGAATGCCGTACCGAGGGAAAGTCACCTCCCTCGCCCAAAGTCACAAAGACGAACTTAGACTTCCAGTCATGTATGGACGAAGGGAGATCAGTGAAGGACCTCATGTTCTTCACCTGCTAGAGATTGGCGTAGTCGGCGCAATTTTATGGCTGCCTCGTCCTATCTGATACAGATTCATAAACAGGTTCGTCGTCGGCACAATACTCAGCTCTGAGCACCGAAACAAGAACCCAACGATTAGCGAGTAGCTATCCGAGGTCAGCATAGCCGGAGGGAGACCCACCATATCTAGGTACTCTGTTATGAATGGATGAAGGGGAAATCTTAGCCCCTTGGCAAAACTCATAAGGTACACTCCAAAGTACCCCGCCGAAGGATTGATCACATGATCTGTCGGCTAAGGCGCCCTAACCCTGCCATACGGCCCCACGTACATCTAGGCGATGTAGTACTCACCCGCGTTGCTCTCCAGCTTTATGATGTACAAGTTGGTGAGATCTAAGAAAGAAATGCCTAGACCTTTCTTCGGTCGTCGCTTCCTCTTTGGCCGAACGTCTGCTATAGGATCTTTCCCCTTGACGGCAGAGAGGGGATCAGGGCACAGAATGGTGGCCGACGTGGAAGCCCTATCTCCTACACGTGAAGCCCAAACGTCTTCACCTGACAATGATGAGGCAACATCCTCGTCCGCACTCTCCTCGTCGTCCTATTGATCCACTGACCTGAAGGGGCTCATGACGTCTATCTCCTTGTTGCACTCATCCACAATCCTAAAATCCAAGGACTTGGTAGATGCCCCTTCGTCATCATAAGGGTGTTACTCTTCATCCAAGCACTTGGCCATAACAACTATTCGCTTCCTAAAGGGGAGTAATTTGGATCTAAAGGGAGGTTCCCTAATAACACTAGATCAAATGCTAAGGAAGCAAAGTATGCAAAAAGGAGGAAGAATGGGTGAGGAACTAACCTTGAAGATTTGAACGGGGTGAAGAACACTGATGTAGTACTTTCTCTCTCTAGAAAATCCGGCAGCACTTTGTTGTCACAAGAATGCAAATGGGGAACTCGCCTCGGATTGGAGGGGTATTTATGGACCCCCTCCTAATGGTCACTACGTGTGGCATCCTTTCATTGGCCACACCAACACTCACGACACGTGGCACACATACAGTGGGTACACCAACGGTTGCCCCCCATTGGTCCCAAGAGGCACAACCCTTTGGATCTCTTCAAAGGCCTAGACCTCTCCATTTTTCCCGGCCTCACCAGCTGAGACCGGCCGAAGGAAATTGCAATGTCCCATCAGATCAAGGGTTGCACTCCAACGGCCACCACGCAGTATGACGCCACGTCTGCGAAAATGCAATAAAGCATGCCTCTTCGACGGCCAAAAACCAAGGTATCACCTAACCCATCGGCCACTGAACAAACCATTGATGATAACCTCTGGTCTGCGACCTGCATCCAAGGGTTCTCCCACAGGGTTACCTTGGTCAAGAATCGCCAAGGGGTTGGATTCATGGGGAATGCAGGGGGTCCACTTCGGCCTGGGGTTTGCCTTACTCCTTCACACCTCACTTACCCTTCAGCCTTAAGAAGTGCAGGACTGGGGGACTGTATCGGCCTCCATGTGCTCCAAAAGATTCTAGAATAAGCAAAAGTTCAAAAAATACAAAGGACCACAAGACAAAGATAGTGGTATCACAACGTCCTCAACCACGTGATCCACCTTCGGCCAAAATGACAAGGATACCATGTAAAATCGCACCAACATCTCAACGTCCACATGCACATGATCCATCTATGCACTCGATTTTGGTATTACCGCCGCTGCATAGGATGGTACCCTATTAGCCGTCGTCGATTCGACTCCCTCCGCCGGCGGCATGCTTGCCGCACAGACGTTGGGTGAATAGCGGACAATTCTAGAGAGCTGGCAGAGCTTCACTCGACCTTAACAATGACGACACCATCTATACAATCTACTGGATATGGAGAGTACGAAATGCAAACAGATTTGATAATGCCAAAGCTCGTGAGGAGAAAGTTTTTGCTAGGATCCAATACATGGTGTATAAGATCCTTTATAGTATATACCCCCATGAACTTATTATGTTTTGATTCGTGATGGCATGAGGTGGCTAATTGCCCCTCCCTTTGTTGTTTTTGGGCATGATCGTGTGAGGTGGTTGAATGCCCCTCTATTTTGAGGTTTTGGAGCGATTGTAAAGTTCAAAGGATACGGTATATCCCATGTTGGGATAGCCCCATTTTTGTTCCCGTTTTTTTGTTTTACTTGTATATAAATATTTTGGATGATTTATATATTTACCCTTTACCAAAAAACAACGGCACCATTTCAACTTAACGAGTCGATGCACCTGATTTTGGTATTACCGATCACGCTCCAAATCAACCAAAAAAATGTGTTGCAGATCCAAATCAAACAAAGCAACCAGTGGCGCACAAAACATGGCGGATATGATCAAAACTAAACTAATTTGTTACAGAATATACGTACTTTATTATTTATCAAATTGGAAAAAACTAGACTTCATTTTATTTTACTTAAAGTCACCAACACGACTGAATTTCAATTTGTCAAGAGAATCATAAATTTTTTCAAATGACAGTTATATGAAAGTTAACCCATCTGATCGGATCTGTAATTGATTAATTAATTAATACTCCGTTAGTCCGTAATATGTTTAGATTAGATGGGCATCTGTAAACGTGGGCGGCTGAGATGAGCTGAGAGATTCCGGAAGATCAAGGGTGAGCACTGAAAATCTGAAATAACCACCTCGATCGAAACCCGATTTGGACGGTCACACCCACCAGAAGTACGAACTGTGTTCAGAAATTATTCATTCCTCTCGCCCGTTCACTCTCCGCCTTTACCAAAAGGTAATTAATTTATTTGTTCCCTTTTTGCTTCTCTGCATTTACCGCTTCATTGCTTCCGATCTGATTGATTAAGGTTAGCCATCGGTTTAGTTTTCTTCAGTTATCTTTTTTGTTTTATGGTCTATAAAGGATCGGTTAGCTGAAATTTCTTCATTCTAGACGTTTGATTCAGATGGCCGAAACCAAACCGGGCATGAGAAAACCGGTTTTCACGAAGGTTGATCAGGTGCGACCGGGAACCAATGGGCACAACCTTGTGGTTAAGGTTGTAAGCTCGACTGTTGTGTCGCCGAAGGGGGGGAGACCAGATGGAACCCGTCAAATGCGCATTGCTGAATCTTTGGTGGGAGATGAAACTGGGACCATTCTCTTCACTTCTCGGAATCAACAAGGTAACTACTCTTTTCATCGCAATTGATTGGGTCCTTGTTTAGTACACAAGAATGCTGTCACGTTTTCATGGATGGGATAAATATGTTCTATTGAATGTGTAGGTTGAGCAAAGAATGGTTTCCTGTTAGGTTATGGTATACTCATGTAGCAATTTGGTACCTCTATAGGAATAAAGCTAGTGGAGGCCCAGTTTGATTTTCGCTATTTTCAAGCTACTTTTGCCTTGCGTGGCTGCCTAAAAACACCCTCAAAGCCACACAACTCCCAAGCATCAATGTCACCTGCCAACACACTTTCAATATCAAATTAGTTCACATGTCACTCCCCTCAAATTGAGCTAACTGTGACTGTGTGAGGTTAAGACTTCACGTTTTATTTTCAAAGGTCAGTTTTATAGGAGGAGATCAATTTTATAGGAAGTAGTAGTAAAAATCTTAGTATAATACTCCCTCAGTTTCATAGAAAAGTTCTCATTTTCCCTTTTTGGACGTCCCTATAAAGGTTCTCATTTCCATTTTAGAAAACCATTAATAATCTTAAATGACAAATTAATCATCAAATATTAAAAATAATACATTTATAATATCATTGTCATGAACACTAACCCCATTATATTGTATACAACAACATCCAAGCCATAGTCCCAAAAGATTAACCCCATTATATTGTATACCTGTTAAAAATTTTTCTCAAAATATCCTCGAACTATCTTATTTAATTATTGTCTAAATAACCGTGTCATTTTGCCATGAGAACCTTTCAACGGGACGAATTTAGTAGTTTATTAGTTGAATGTTTTATCAGTTGGGAAAGCCTTCAACACTCCACTCACGATCAAACACATCGATTGAATTGTGTCATCATTCATTCATCTTTTTCACCGATTCGTCATAATCATCGTTATTTTTTCGTAATCTCTATTACTGAAGCCCCAATGGACTCAACTTTCTCCCAACGGAAGAAAGCCTTATACTCTATTGGAAAACAAAGCAAAGAAGGAGGTGGAATCGACAATTTTCATAGGCAGTCACACCATAGTTATGGATCAGTTTGAATCTGATACTAATGCGGAAAATACCTCATAAGTGAGTGTGTGTCGGGAGTATAGTTCTCGCAACTTTTGAGTGTCTTTTAGGTTTTGAAGTAAGACAAGATTAGCTGAAAAATCATTGTCAATCTCTACTGACATTGTTTCTATATAATTAAGAGACCACTTACCACCCTCAATGAGGATGTTTGTACTTGAATTGTTTTTAGTGCCAGACCAGACCAAACTTAAATAAATCAGACCAGACCAGACTTAAACAGATCAGACTATGCTTCTGTAGTTATAAAATACACAAAGACTAGACATTTACCAAACCATTTCAGACCAGATCAGAGTAGACTTAAACAGACCAGACCCGACCAACAGATTATAGTTCAAGTAAAAACATCCTGAATGGTTCGATGTTTGAGTTGTCCTGCATTTCATGTTATAGATCCCTACAGTTGTTAGATTTTTGAGTGATCATATAATGTTTTTGGTTCCAAAGTTTACATTTCTGAAAATATTATACTTATGGTACATTCTGAAATATGAAGTGCCTTTTTTACCAATATTAGTGTTTTTCCATTGGAGAATGGATGTGGTGTGGTGGTGATAGGACTCGGGCAGATAATAATAATAATAATATTTTAGAAGAGTTAGTATAAAAAGTTACTGTAAACTGGTCTATAACCTATCAGGTGGGTTCACTCTGCTATGTGTTTTAAACATTCCATTCGAAGAAACTTCAGGGTATTAGATTGCAAACTGCTTTTTGTCTCTTTTTGTTTGTGCAATTTTGCATTAGGAAGATGCATTGATTCTAGATTGAGGGACACTGTGTTGAGCTCATTTAGACCCTTTTTTGTTTTGAATGCCTTGATGCAGTGGATTTAATGAAGGAGGGTGCTACTTTAATAGTGAGAAATGCTAAGATTGACATGTTTAAGGGGTCGATGAGGCTGGCGGTGGACAAGTGGGGACGCATTGAAGAGGCAGAGCCAGCCGATTTCACCGTCAAAGAAGACAATAACCTTTCACTCATTGAATATGAGCTGGTCAATGTTGTCGAGAAATAGTTATCTTGAGAGTTTTTTATTTTCAAGATCTCTGGGGCCACCTCATATGAATCTTGCAAGAAATCTCACTATGACTGAAGTTTTCATTTAGGAAGACAAAAAATGTTATGGATAAAAATTATAATGAAAGAGGTTTCAGTGTGGCTTACTACTACTTCTAAGTACAACTGCTCGGCCACCAGCATTGCAATAAATGAAGTATGTCAAGGCATGGAATGCTCAACTTTGAGTGTTTACATACATATAATGTAATGCAGCATAAATTGGATTCGAGAGATTTTGGCAATGTAGTTCCTTGGTGGATTGATTGAAGTGTTATGTTTATTTGTTGTTTATGATCTGTTAGCCCAATTTTTTAGTACATCTTAAACTGGATCTTTTTCAACTAGTGTTGGCTCCTTCTGGTGCAGTTTGACAGGGGTTTTCCACCGTACTGCTCTAGATTTTTTTTCTTCAACTAAGAGTTTATGCACTACAATGATCATTGCACACGCGGATTGTATTCTTCACTTCAATTTGGAGTTTGTGTGGTTAATAATTTGACCATTTTAATTTAAACTTAATAACTTTGACAAAACACAATGTACTTTAACATTTTAAAAATGATTTCGATCGTTTTTTCGTGTATGCAAAATGTATTATAGTGCGATGGGGTTTAAAATATTGCAGATTCAAGAAAATTTGATCCCGGTAGTCAGTAGCCTCCAAACTGCAGTTCCGCACCACATTTGCATTGATCCAAAAGGTGGAATCTCCCACCCCAGGAGCCTCCCACCCCGACCCGACAGGATGGTGGGGAGGTTAGACTGGTTAGTCACGGTGACTCAGTCAGCAGAATGGCAGTAGGCCCATACACCCGTGCGCACCAGAGGTCCAACCTTATTTCAGGTTCTGTGACCTCCACCCAGTCGCTGCGGGGATTCGAATCTTGGTCCATTGATCCAAATCTCCCATCACTCGACCAACTGAGCTACCCGTGCGGGTCCACACCACATTTGCATAATTGCATAGCATGCATGCAGCCTTCGCTCTAACCAAATCACTTGGCAGTTAGCCTGATTAGACTCACAACTTTAGAGCATCTCAATTATCAAATTGTCTTGTAGAGGAGACTATGGCTTTGTGTTTGGATCGTATCGGAGGTATTGATCCTACCAAGGCCTTCGTTCCACTTTATTCGCAGAGGCTTCACCCTATGTTTATTCCCATTTTGACACCCTTATTTGAATCTCTCCCAATCATGTTGACTTACCTGGAGTGTGCCCCTCCTTTGTTGTCCGCTGCGGTATGTTGTTTTGTCTTGGAAGCCCGTGAGTCTTAGTTTGCCCGTGACTTACCATTTGCCAACCAGCCTATTATTTAGATGCCTTGGCTTGAGCAGTAGTCTGCCAGAGAACTTGAGCAGCCCGTTCTCCTTTCCTTTGTGTGAGAGTTGAGAGAGGTTCCTCAGTGAAGAGTAAACATGGTGAGATGTAGTGACCTTCCCGCATGGTAATGAGAAAGAAATGACTTTGATGAAACGGTTAGCAACACAAGAGGGGGGGGGGGGGGGGGGGGGGGGGTGAATTGTGTGTGTGGAACCGTGGCAATTTTTCGCACAGTTCTAATGTGGGGTCTAGGGAATTATGAAATAATAAAGTGAACAAGGATTTAACGAGGATAAATCCCTTGGCTCAAAGGGATTAAAAAACCTCGACCTCCCTCGGAGGAATTTGAAAAACTTCACTAAAAAGCCTTTGAATGATTACAAGGGAAACTCTTCTAGTCTACCCTTGAGCCACCCCAACTCTATCCTCTCTAGGAAGAGTTATGCATCTCTACCTTGCGGGTAGAGAGCCTCTCAGCTTTACAACAAAGCTCTCACAACACACTAACCGACCCGAGGACGCTACACTTAGCCAATCCTCAAAAACCCAATTACAATAAGAAGAAAGAAAAGGAAACTCAGTCTGGAACTCCGTGAGCAGGTTCAAGTGCCTTGGACTTAGTAAATATTCTAGTGTATATATCTCAATAGAAGCTTGGTCAAGCACACCTCATTTCTCTTTGGCTTCTTCGTTTATATAGGCTGTCTTGGGCAGATCGTTTAAGCATCCTTCCTTGAATAGTTGATCTTCTAATCTTGGGACTTGCCCCAATATTTTGAATTGCTTTCCTTCTTTATAATACTTCCCATATCCGAGCTCAATGTTTAAGGCAGCCGGATTAACCATCATATGTATCGGCCCTGGACTAAGACTAGATACAAATATCTCGTGCATCTTTTTGAGTCAATCAATTAATTACCGAATAAGGTAGGCTTTGGTCAATATTCAAGAAGGTAAGAATATTTTTCTCAATATAAGCAATCAACTCATTTAGATATGGAATATATTTCAACCAGCTTTTATTCTGTCACAACCGTGTAGCTATGGAATATTTTACGTACCATACTTAAGCTATATCAATTGTGGAAAGAGAATAATTACTTATATAAGGAAATCATAGCAATAAAAGAACAAGTAGGTGCAATCCGTATTAACTCAAATCATATCACGGATTGTGTTTTAGTTTCTCCTGCATGGTTAGTCAATCAAATTAATAATATCCATTCGTTCCTGTTACTCAAGGAACTGTGAGCGGTTTTATCCGCCGTTCCCCTGTATGGTTAGTTATCAACAAAACAATCGTATTCAACAAGGAACTGTGAGCGGTTCTATCCGCCGTTCCCCTGTATGGTTAGTCATCAACAAAACAAACGTATTCAACAAATTCCCCCTTTTTGTTGATGACAAACCTATGGTGCCAAAAGAGTCCCTGCAGGTTAGTACTTGAGCAAAACTTAGCAATAAAGTAACAGTAGGTTTTTAATGTAGCAATAATAAGCAGGCACCTGATTACTTCCCCCTTTTGGCATCAACCAAAAGGAAACATAAAATAACCAAAACAGTGCCAAGTAAAAGTGCAAAGTAGGACAGCTTGTTAAGATGTTATGTAGCAACCCCCCCCCCCCCCCCCCCAGTAGAAAAATGTTTAATCATCCTCAGAAGAGTAAATTATTATCCGATGAGTCGAGCCAGATTCACAGAGCCGCTCCGCCACTTCCTGTTTGAAGGATTGGAAATCATTCCGAATAGCATTGGTTGAATCAGCCAGTGTGTCCACCTTTTTTGCCAATGCAGAGATGGAGTCTGAAAGGGAAGCAAATTGGTGTTGAATATATCGTTCCAGGAGATCTATGCGGTCAGTGATTGGGGGTACCACCATCATTGGGTCGATGGAAGGAACAGGAGTTGGTTTTGGTCTGGGTTTTGTTCTGAAGAAGAGGGATCGGTCGGTTTAGGAAGTAGGTGAGAGTTTGATATAATTAGTCCGAGGTTGCTAAGACATCTCTTGTCCAGGACCTTGCAGGCTTCTTCAGAGGAGAACCTGTCTAGAGCAATGCCCTTAGATAGGAATATTTTTGTATGCAGTGGGGCATATGGAATCCCAATCCTTCGGGATGAGGTACTAATGGTAGAACTTAGATGAGCCATCATTAACCCAGGAAGGTTGATAGGAATTTTGTTGGCTAAAAGGTACATATAGGCCAGTTCAATTCTAGAGGGTGTGAATCTCCCTTCTAGCCTAGGAATCAAGTTGTGATGAACAAAGTAGAACAGTAGTTTGGGAATTGGTGCAAGGCTCGCAACATGAAGAGAGGATTCGGAAATGGTTGGGTTAAAATATTCAAGTGCAACTGTTTGAGAAGTGTCAGTTAGGGGTCACTCGGTTTTGTTATATTGGCATATACCAGTACATGGAACACCTAAAATTTGACCCAGATCACTCACATTTATCAGAATTTTGGTACCTTGTACCCTAGAGGATAAAACACTGTCTTTGATAATAAGATTAGCCAAAAATTCTGAGATGAGTTCAGGAAACACAGAGGGACAATTCTGGGAATCAAACAAGGTTTCCCATTTTTGGAAGGAAATAAGCTCAGTAAAATCAGAGATTTTTCGAGTAAGATCACCAGAGGATATGGAGAGTACCTTAACTATTCCACGGGAGAGATACTCCTCCTTGAGTCACGCGGCGTCTTCGTCGACTACCCTCCCCATCCTTGGTTATTTTTTGGTGGAGCCCTTTTCGGAGATGATTCCCTCAGCGATTGCCCTTTTTCGAGTGTACTTTTGGGGCAACACCTTTCCGTCGCGAGTTGGTGGTTTTCCTTTGGGAGGTTTAATTGGCGATGGAGAGCCTCTCTCTTGTTCCCCCTGAGAGGACGCCGGGAATGGTGGTAAGGAATCACCAGATTCGGATTGCATGGTCGAAGGAGGCGAGGCTTCGAGTTCAATCGGAGTAGGTGATGAAGGTGGAGGTGGTTGTACGCTTCTTTTCCGGCTAGAACGACGAGGAGCAGTTGGAGGAGCGCAGCCTCTGGTTTTGACCATGGCGGTTTAAGAAGGAGAAGAAGGAAGAAGTTATGGAAGGTTTTTATTTTGGAAGTGGGCGGCGTATTGGTATATGGGACACTTTCCCACTTCCCAAAAAAAAGCTTTAATGATTTCCTTCCAAATAGGAAGTTGCCGATTATGTAGGTGTATTATCCCCAAAAATTTTGGCAATTTAAAAACTTAAAGGATCTTGCCTCCTTTTTATAAAAAATAAAGAATTTCTCCTTAGGTTGTACCGAATTTTTTTTTAGCATGGATTAGAATAGTTTTAAGCATTGATGAGACCAAGTTCAAGTCGAATTAATTCAAACCTTTCTCTTCCCAGGGGCTTTGTAAAAATGTCAACAATTTGCTTGTCGATGTTTGATAAGTCCATTTTTGTACTTATTTTTCTTATCAAATTTAAGTGATTTTGGACTGAAAAACAGAAAAACAAGACATGTTTTATATATTTTGGTTCAAGTTTCGTGAAATCAGGTAAAAATCACATCCATGACATGTTTGATGAAATTTCGGGTCAATTTAGTACAAAATGCGTCAATTGGAGTAACAAATGATATCATACCGAAAAAAGGAAGCAGAATTTCAAAGTGGTCCAGAAGGGAAAGTTGAAGAGCACAAAATTCAGAACAAGACGGACAAAAAACCTCACAGGCGCCCAGATTGGCCGCCTACCAGGCCGCCTACCAACTTTTGAAAAAAGTCAATTTTGATCAAGTTTGACCGGACCGGAGAAAAACGGAAGGCGGCCGACACTGGACGGAAGGCGGCCGCCTTCGATGGCCGCCTGCGGCACAAGGCGACGAACCAACCACCGGCTGGTGGGATTTGACGGCAGGCGGCCAGACAGGAACGGCAGGCGGCCGCCTGCTGGACCGCCTGCGGTGGACGAGTTGACCGGCGTCACGTCCTGCCGGTGACGTGACGGAAGGCGGCCGGGCCAGGACCAGAGGCGGCCGCCTACCATATTTTTTGTGCTATATATACCCCGATTTTTGCTGAACTCAAACACACCTCTTCCAAGCCTAATTCAGTTCAAAAAGGTCCTCTTCTTTGGCTATTTCCGCAGCTCTAAGGATTTTTGGGAGAGAGAAACTTCAAATC